GAATTTGAAGCTGAATAGCTCTCAAAACCTGCATACCTCTCCCCTCTGTGCTCCACAATAACTCCCCAACTGAACCTGTATCGCCCTCCCCACGACACACCCCCTCTGGCAGAGCAAGAAGTCGGCCGGCAGAAGATCCTCCGCTAGCTTCAAATAGGATTCACCATGTCGGATTGTTAGTGACTAGCGTCAGTAAACGCCAGCTCAGCTAGTAAGGGGCCGTCTGCAGCTGCCTGGACAGCTACTGTGTTGACATTCCAGAGACTAATAAGAGTTATTTATGTAACGTGCCATGATAAAAAAGGGGAGGAGCTAGGATTTACCATTAGGAGCTTTCCGGGATGGATGACTCCCATTGGGGATAATTACCAATATCTCCAATCATCAATCATGCCTTTAAAAATGGAGCTGTAGAGAAAAAAGAGGATTTGAGCTCAAATCAGTCTGACAGTAACTACATGTCAACATCACAACCAGGGGGGAGAAACATTTATATTCTGTGTCATTAATTTATAGTTTGTCCACAGCTCCATAGGGATTGCTGGAGGAGGTGGGATTTATGACCTATACTGCAGCCCATCACCAGAGGGTGCTGTTCTCACAGTGGGGTTTATTCCATATACAGTCTATGGGAAATACATAAAACTATTACTCTCTTATACAATATATACAACTTAATTATAACTAATGCTTTGCTAGAAGTCTTACAGATAACTACAAAAACCTTACTGACTACAATATATTTAATGCACTAAAGGAGCAGTTCAACATTTTTTTACAGAGGGCCATATCTACACTCTCTTCATTAACTACACTAAATAACTGCATGTGATTCAGCATAAGTGGTTTCCATAAAGGGTACTATTACAACCCAATCTGTAAATGTGCAGCTAAGTGTAGACTACTTATTCTGGAAATATGACACTAATATAAAGATGATAAACAGGCCTCAAATATCAAAGCGACAACATTACATGATGTGCTGAATAATCTTTGACTTTATAAAAGGCTGTGTGGATCATTTCAGGGAAGGATGTCACGTCTCTCCTGCTGAGCGAGTTTCTGACTGCTCGTTGAATCTGTCAGGATGAAAGTACATGTGGGATCGGAGTGTGCGTCTGTGTGTGGGTGTATGTGTGTGTACTGATGGGACTCGTTTGATGGTCGTTCTCTTGTTTTCTCCGCTCTGCAAATGTTCAATAACCTCAGAACGAGTATGAGAATAACCGCACTGCAATAGAAGAGAATCCTGCATTAAAAAAACCCATGAAGTAAATGTTTTTAACTCCCTTCAGCTAATCCGTAACAGAGGGAGGTTCCTATTTTATACTAAAATGATGTCTTATACTAGTTTACTAAAAACAATATGAATTTGTAAAACAAATGTAGTGGAGTTAAACTTTCAAACATCATTTTAATCAAGCACAGATGTTCATAGTAACAGGTAGATACTGTCCACGTCTGTCTATGTTAAAGATGTCAAAGCAAAGATTGATTACAGCCCCTATCCAACAGTTTTCTCCCCATGAAGAACCCTCATAACACCCAGAGGACATGGTTTGTTTTTTTCCCTCCTCCTGTCAGTACTGGGGCGTCTTTCAGTGTACTACCACCATACAGCTGTACATTAACTCAATCAGGGGGATCTATGTACAGAATGTTCTTTATGGAAGGACGTATGTAGACCTGAAAGACTCTTAAACACAAATATGAGAAGTTAGAGAGCCCACATTCAACGGTTTCTTGTCAAAGTCTAAATGGATCCACCTGAAACTGAACTTTAATGCTGACGGGCCAACAGAGAAGTATTATTGACATGTAGCACCATCTAGTGGTAGAATTAGAAACATGCTGCGTTAGAGTCAAAGTTATCTGTGATCTGTAAGAAGACGTCATTCAATCAATCAATCTTAATTTATGTAGCACTAAATTGACAACAAATCTTATCTTAGGAGCCGGTCCAGACAATACTCTTCATGACATTTACAGGAAAACCAACATAGAGATAGGGTAAGATAGAATTCCATCTTCATCCACATGAATGTAACCCTCAGCGTGTTACAGTAGAGAGGAAAAACTTCCTTTAAACAGGCAGAGAACTCGAGCAGAACCAGACTCATCATAGACAGTCATCCGCTGCTGCTGCTGCACTGAGTTTAGAGAGGACAGTTTAATATATATGATAATACTATGACCATTTTTATAACTCAGTCTGTGTCATTATAGGTAAGACTCATATTTAAAATGCTTAAGTGTCAAAATAAAGAAACTCAAGAATTATCTAAGGTTTACCTGATTATGTCAATGGTCTGTCAAAGTGCTTCTTCTGTTCTTGAGTTATAAACTTCCAGAGGAAATTAAAAGATAAACATTTAAGAGCATATTTCCTGTAGCTTCATTTAAACCTTAAGTATTTTAACAGTGAACACAAACATCAAATATAAATAATTGATCTCATATTGATCAAGCTCCTGCTCATGGATTGTAACCGAACAGGTTCTGTGGTTTTTTTTCTGGGTAAATGGCGCCCTCTGTTGTTCATTGTTTACAATGAATATCCAGTACCTGTCTGACTGAAACCAATTTTAACAAGATGTGAGAGATAGGGATAGTGACTAAAAATCAACATCAACTGATTTCAGTTTCAGGGTCAATAAAGTCTTTATTATCTGACTACACTTGTCTGATCTGACCATGCAAAGAGTAAAAATAAAAAGATTTATGAGACCATTTTCCCCCCACTGTAAACTATTTTTATCTACTTTTTAAATCTAACAGTTAAGATTGTGTCATGTTATTTAAATACTGATTGCAGTGATTGACTCTCCTATTCCAGATATTTTGTTTTATGGAGGACAAACTCAGTTTTCAGTCGTTTATTTACAGACTTACTCGTGACTGACTGATTTCTCTGTATGTAAGTAAAATGAGGAGGTCGATTTAGTTGTTGATTGAAAAATTGTCTCTCACTATTTCACCTACTGAGACTCCTCCTTTTTTTATTCTAATTACTGAATACATGTTGGAAACTGTGAACTGTATGTTGCACTACTTATAACAGCAAGTTTTTTGATGTAAAGTGCAGCATATTTTCCTTTCACTGCTCAGAAAGAAATAATAGTTGATAACAGTTAATTTGCCAAAATTACATTTGTTCTGCTCCAGTAAATAAAGAAATGAGAGATTGATTTTAGACTTGTGGCGTCTGGTGGTCACTTACCTGACCCTTTCGTTGCTTTTTGTTCCTGTTTAGGAGCTCTCACCTGTTAGTCTTTACTTTTGAAGTTTCCAGTTTGTAGATCTCTCGCGTGACCGACACAATTCTACTTAAACCAAACACATGATTTAGAAACCGAGTGGTCATAAAAGGATGTGAGAAAGCGGAAACAGTGGGCTCAAACCTCAGAGGTAGGTTTTATTTGTGGCGTGTATTTATATAAAAGTTTACAACAATCAACCTTTCATGAAACACATCACAGTATTGACTCTAAAATTAAAATAACCACAATTAAATGCCAGTACTTCTTGGTCCAGTGTGTTTCCATGAACAACAGTGTATCATGGGCACTTTCTTTCTGTGTACACTTAAGACATAGTGACTGAATGAGGTTTTAAGGTTAGTAATATCTTTGGATATTATGTCTGGAACTGATGCTCTCCTGTCCTTTACCATGCACGTCTTAGGGATTTGTTCTTTTTCTGTTTTCAGTTGTGATCACTTTTTTGTTCTGCAGGGATAAGGATGTGGTGAGTGAGTTGACTGGAATTTACTGTTTTAGTGTCACTATTTTCTGATAACTCTACATGATCAAACAGTTCATTTAAAATAATCATCAATCAAGTCGATTATGGATATAATCATTGATAAAAATCCAATCTTAACTATTAAAATAGCAAAATAATCCTACTTTTAACTCATGCATTGATCTGAAGTATCTGATTTTATAACTGTGTTATAGCCGAGGCAATTTCTCCTGCATTTAGATCTTTTCTAACTTATAGCTTCTAGGTTAAATAAATGTACTTTACTCGACACAATTTTAATAATGCCAAGATTAACATGATTGTTTTGTATTTTAAAATGTGCACACCTGATGGTAGGAAGGACCACAATTTAGTGTGCAACAATGCATAACATACACTAACTCTATCTAACTTGACCTTCAAGATATAAAAAGACATTTTTTGCATCGAGTACTCCTGGTGCTCAAAAGTGTCGTTTTCACGATGAGCTCACGAGTGCAGATGCATCATGAAAAGGTGCAAACTCACACTTAGAAGGTGAAGTCATAGCAGTGCGTTCACTTATTCACACAGGATACTTGCAGCTCATGTGTGATAAGTTGCATTATGTCATCCCTTCCTGAAACAATCGATGACACCTTTTGACCGCTGTGGCTGCACTTGTTTTCTTGTATACTGCGGGCTCCTTGCTATGTCGAAGAAAACAAGTTCTGTCTGTTGTTTGATTATATAAAAGTTGTCTTCTCAGAATAACTATTAAACTACATCCAACTATTCAATTCAATTCTATCTCTATACATATATGCGTGTATATGCATAGGGGAGAGTGGGGTAAGATGAGCCATTAAGATGTTGTTCATCCCTGTAAACCAACAGAATGAGTGTCAACAGAACTGTCTTGATAATATAGCATGCCAAAAAAAGTGGTCTACTTTAAAAGTTGTCAACTTACATGTGAATTTTATCTATTATACGCCATTCAACTGGTACAATAATTCTTTATATTATTATTGCATATAACTTCTAAAAAGTTGTTTTATAAAAAGCCATTTGAACATGAGAATGTCTTAAAGTGATTCAGAACATTCACAGATCTGTATTTATGAAAAGAAAAAGTCAAACATTTTAACAATCTGAACGTAAATTCTGATCCTCTTATCAGACTCCTTTACTTTCTCAGTTACCCCAGAACTACTATTATGACTTTATTAGTCCTCTAAGATAAAACGGTGGACTTTTATGTTTAAAATGATCTTTTCTTGGTCTGAACACAATTCTAATCGAACTTATGACAGACTAAATTCACTTGTCTAACCCCTTCTTCACCCATGTGCTTCTAACCTTCACAGACTCCATGAATTGATGCCCATCTCCTAAATATTTGGTCACATGATCAATTTCTTTTATCATTTCCAAGCAACAGGGGGTGGCTCAACTTACCCCACTCTCCCCTATATGTGAGGGTGTATGTGTGTTAGAGTTTACAGTTATGACCATGTATTACAGATCGCCCATAGCTTTTAAGACTGATTGAGAACCATGACACTGTCTGATCAGGGTGAACTCAGACCTACAGACGTTTTTCCATGACAAAAATCGTGACCCCGGTCAGAGGTACAACCCAGGATGGAGCATGTGTTTTAGTGTGTGTGTGGACCAGAGCAAACCCCATTTTTTCGTACAGTGCCACAGCAGCAGACTGAGTCGAACTCGTCTCCAGCACTATCTTTGAGAAACCTCGTTCTTTACAGAAATCTATCGCAGTCTGAGTCAATCTGGTGCCCAATCCTGACCTCCGACATGACGGTGAGATAATCATCCTGAACAGCTCCCCGTGTCTTTCCTTTCCACTTTGTTTGGCCAATATGGCCACTATTCCCAGGATTTGGGATCTTCCATCAACCTGAGCTTCAGCCACCCAAAAACAGTCATCCGGTCTGCTCTGATAATGCCCAGGGATGTCCTGCATGTCCGTCCTGAGTTTCCCCTCGACAAAGCTTGCATAAAGGAAATGGCAGCAGGAGTAGACAAAGCCCACCCACACACCGGTTAACACCACTGCCCCCAAAACAGAGCTGAGGAGGTAGCCGACGACACACAGAGCGACGGTGGTGGCGAGGTGGAGGGGTCTGGTCATGGCATTTCTGAAACACGGGCCGATGTGTTCTCTGATGCCGATGCTGAACAGAGTCCGGACTGTTTCCTCGTCTGAGGGTTGGAATGGGCGGATCACCAGCTGCATGATCGCAAATCCTCTGAAAGAAAATAAGATGGAAAGATAGTTCACATGTTACACAATTGAGCTCCAAAGTCCCTCTCTCTGCTCTTGGAGGGTGTCGTGGTTATTTCACTTGCTCCTGCCTATTGATTTACCTGCCCTTTGTTTCCTCTTATCTCTTTTAACAAGTAACTATGGCCATTCAAACCCAGACAGCTGTGGAAATTAACCCTCATAAATTCGTAGCCTTCAAGGCTGAGTGTCTTCTCTGGCAATTCTCTGGAAATTTGCCCTTTTTTTAAATAAAAAATAATATGTTTGGGATTAACCGTTCTCATAATATCTGAACTCTCTGAACCCTGTGATATTAGTAAAGACACAATGTTGTCAGCTCTGTCTTTGCTGTTTCAATAACTGTGTAACTTACATAAGTGTAAGTGATTCAGAACATTCACAGCTGTATTTTTAATAATATTGATTGTTGATCATTCACACACCTACTACAGTATAAATTTAATGCCTCTGAAACGTCTTTACATATTTAAGGGGGTGGCCTAGGTAATAACATAAATAATACTAATGCAACCATACAAATAATACCAATAAATGACTGATGAATGATGGTCAGGGGGCCACATATGGTTTTTAATCCCAAACTGTCACACATTCAGCTACAAGTATTGTGTTTACTGTAAGAATCATAGACCTACATCAGCAGCAGCAATAAGCTGTTTTTACTTTATCTTATTTTTGCAATAATATATATTTGATCATACAGAAAGCATCACTCATACATGCAAAAATTAAAAGATGTTTAATTTATTTTTTTATCGCTCTTGGGGGCCCCAACTGGCCACGGGGCCCTAAGAAGATTTTAGTTCGCTTATGCCTTGAGCCGGCTCTGATACAAGTTATTGCATGAGCAGAACCTGCGTTGTGTTGTTTCATTAGTATTAAATCCAGGTAACTCCTCAAACTCGTCCACTATCACCATGAAGAGCTTCACTACTCTGTGTTATAATGAGTTGGATTTGCTGCCCTGGACTGTCGGACCCCGGAGCGAGTGTAGTCCCGACCCTCAGAGGTTCTCGCTGACTGAAACCTTTGGCCCAGTTTGACAGACGTCTCTGTGAACTTATTTCATTACCTTTTGCCCACTTTGCCATTTCAAGCTCCAAATAAACCGACGATCTCTTACCTTCGGTCTCTTGTTCCAGTCCTGGTCGAGTCCGACTGAAGTGAGCTCTTAAATAAAGGGAGGACAATCTAAAGATCTGATTTCTGTTTAAATTATAACTAAGATAAGCTATATTGTCTGTCAGAGAGTGAGGTAGTAAAGAGCTCTGCTGATAACTTCTGTTGTGCATTAACTCCAAAGTGACAGAGCTGTAAAGTTGTTTAGGCTGCAGATAACAGTCTAGTGTGGATGACGAGAAGATCCTTTCACAGTGAATCCCCCCGCATATTTCTCCTTCACCGCATGACTGTCGTCTGGGACCGCGATCATACCCCAACAAGTGGTTTCCCCGAAATCTGGTTTACTCCGTGCCCCGTGATACCGGATGTAGTTTGGTTCCCTCTTTTATCTAAGCTCGAGTGATTCTCAGATATGACTCGGAGAAACTGAGTTTATGAGTTTACTCATAACGTGCAAGTGCTCAGACACTGGTAGGTTTCAGGTTGGATACAGCCCAAACAAAGAAAAACATGTCATCACTTAGAACAGGGGCGTAGCAAACTGGGGGGCATTGAGGTGCCCCTGTAAGAGTTAGGCAGAAACTTCCATTAAACATACTGAATATTAACTCTTGTCAATCAAATTCGATAAATAAATAAAAAATGATGTACATGTTTAAATAGAGCTGATGTTCAGACACTTTTATACTGAAACACGATGTTTCAACTTGAATATTTTTTTTGCACTTAACCTCACAGCTTGCACTAATGCCCATCTGAAGACGGGTGTTTTGCTTGGTTATTAGTAGTTCTACTTGTTCTAATAAAAAGAACACATCATGTGAAGCAATACATTAAAGTCCCACTCTGATTGTTTTTTTTACTACTTAAAGTGTTCTCAGTGGTCTTTAAATTGTGATTATGACGTTTTTAGCCAAAATCACATTACCTGTGTCAGTTTCAAGGACCTTTCTTCTGCAGAGCTCCAGTAGCTCATTAGTAATTCACCTCTGAGTCGTGGGTGGAGTCAACGCTGCTCTGCACACTCCTCTTCATGCTAGCTTGTAGCCTAGCATTGTTGATGTAGTAGAAGAAGCAGGTAACATAGGAGCTATTCAGCTCTCAGACACTAATGTCTTTGGGGACATGATGAAAGTTAATATCATAATTAGCTTTCTTATGAGCATTGTAATCCGCTAACGCACACGTTTGTTCCGCGATTGTCCTCTCTACTTCTCGGAGTCTGGCCTACATAGCAGGTCTCCGGGGGCGGAGCTTGGATTTGTGATGTAGGAAATCTTACTGTATGTGAGTTCGCTGTTTGGGTCTGCCAGAGAAATACTCAGAAATGCAATTTCTCATGATCTGTCTCGTAGCATCAGAAAAATGCCATATGAACGTGTGATTTTCATCAGAGTGGGTCTTTAAATCCAGTTGTGTCGTTTGCCTGGTTAAAAAAGCCAAAAGTAGAGAAAAAAAGGTTTATGCTTATTGATGACCTTTGCCAGGACAATGTAATTCAGATGTTATATAAGTGTTTTAATATGCAACAGAGGTCTACATGGACATTGACCCATGATGGATGGGTGGGATTTTAAAATATAACTTGTTTAATCTTTGACTGTATAGTCAACATAATATGTTGAAGTGATTCTAGCTGATTATTCCAAATAGCAATAGTTAGTTAGAAGTATTGTCACAACTCATCTCCAGTTCCTCTTGTAGATCAAACAGACCTTGTTGTCCCACATCTTCTCCTCCTCTTTTTGTTTTTTTTAGCATAAACCACTACATACACTATAACAGCTGTAACCAAAAGCTGCTCGAGTGTGTGCAGAGGTTTTTGTGGGCTGTGACTAAAAACTCTAAACACTTGTCTTCAGATCTGAGCAATTGTGAGCTGATAGTTTTCCAGGAGTCCTTTCTATATCTTTTTAAAGTCCTCTGATGTATAGGTGGAATTAGATGAATTTTTGTCATACTGTACATCATATATTTACTCTCAGTGAAAGGGGCAAATACGCTCTTATTTGTTAGGAGGCTTTTGCCACAGCCTTTCAACCATATTATATTAAAGGGATATTCCAGCATAGAATTAAGTTAGGGTCAAACACACACCGAGTTAGACACAGAGACCAGCGGGCATGTATATCATTTCTTTATCGTTTCCTTGAAGTAATAATCACCATATTAATCATTTTACAGACGTGGTAGTTCTTCTGCCTCAGTGTCTTGGTCTGATTGCATTTCCATGAAGAAGTTATCATAAATGTTCTTCCTTGAGCTGCGTCACCCCACTGTAGTCCGTAATGGACTGGCCAAGTGGCTGCTGGATGAGAGTAGGTGAGTTGTGTATAGTCTCTTTGCTAAAGAAATGAGTCAAAGTTAAAAAGATGTTTGGTGGCTAGTACTATGGCTGTGACCCTATATGTCCTGTTGATGAAGTTAGGTGCTGTTCTGAGTATTATTTGTGGTTATAGGGTGGGGTTTTGGTTGAGCACCTGGCTCTCTGTTTTGCTATCCTGCGGTCGTTACTTAAGTTGGTATAACTGGAGAAGCAAGCGGTCGACAACATTCATCTCTCTAGGGGGTGTCTAACTCGGTGTTACCGTGTGTTTGACCTTAACTTAATTTTACGCCGGAATATCCCTTTAATGTGATAATACACATCCAAAGATCTAGATAACATAACTAGTAATTTAAAATCTTATGTGCAAATATATTCAATAATCAGTTATAATTTGATGTTATTACTGTGCTGCCTACAGCTGATCACATTTAGAGTTTGATGCTTAAAAAAGGAAGTTTTTCGATTTAACAATTACGATTAAATATTATATGAAACATTAATATTCTTTAAATATATCTCTTGTAAAAAGTGTTGCTAGGTCTCATCTTAAATAATTTGATCATCTTGAGTTTACAGCGTATTGTCTCAATTTGGTGACTTCTGACTGTAAAGAGGAAAAAAAAGCACAAAAAAGGAAAGAAAAGAGGGAGAAATAGATTGGGGAAGTCAAAATGCTGCCTTTGCCTCAATTTACAGTCACAGCTGAAATACTCACAAGCATGTCTTCCTAGAAACAAAGTCCCAACCACTTTTGGAGACCTCATTTAGATTATATTTAGAGGAAAATGACATTACATACTAGATAATAATCCAAAAACTAAACAGATACTGATGGTTCTCCCCAACAAAGAGGAGCTTCATGGAGACTTTCTACCAGCCTTTTGTTAAGCCTTTTGTTCTTACCTTCCCATTGTGGAAAAACACTTTGTAGCCCTCCTACACCTGCACCAGTTTAGCTGCAGCAGTCTAGTTCTCACTTCCTCCACACTTCGGGACAGTATGTTCAAAAGAAAACCTTTGAGGAAGTACACTTTTTGCTGTTTTACACATTTTATTCAGACATTACAGGGAAGTAGATCGCAAAGTTTATCATCCATCATAGCATTAAGACTGACAGTCGATGACAGACAGGAAGTTAATGCTCCAAAATAAAAGTGTTGAGCAAACTAAACACAGCAGTACTGGTTGTGAACTTTCACTCTATTGACTATTAATAGCATGTGACGGCTTACAAACTACACGGAAAAAATGCAAACATCAGTTGAATGAAGAAACACATCTATCAAGAGAGTATATCCTAAAGAGGGTATTAATATTTACATGATGTACTTAGATTGTCAAATACACAAACTTAAACACAAGTTTGTCCATTTTTCCTTCACTAAATTTTGGCCACACTGTTCATGGTGCTGCTCACATTGTTGTCTGTCGTCTGGCTTATCTGAGATTCTTGCTTTTCTCTTCCACATGCAACAAACCGTCTCCAGATCATTAGGTACGCCGTCCTGATCTTTTTTATCTTGAAAGCATACACAACCGGGTTCACAGCTGAATTAGCATGAGAGAGCAAGATTCCAAGATGGACAGCTGTTCCTGGGACGACCCCTGACTTGTGAAAGTACTCGATGCTGTTCATGATGTGGAGAGGGAGCCAGCACAGGGCGAACAGAGCCAGGACCAAAGACAGAGATCCTGCCAGGGCTCTCTCTTTCTTTAAGTAGTTCCGGGACTGATGTTGAGCACTGTCACCTGGTTTTTCTCGAAGGTTTCCACGAATTGTAGAGAAGACGTAGCCGTAGAGTGCAGTCATTACCAACAGAGGTAGCAGGTTGCAGAGAAAAAAGTTGCAGTAAACCAGGTAGGACAAGGGGATAACTGCGATAAACCGGCATTCTAGAGTAGAATTGGTTGTTTTTGAAAAGGTGTCATGGTTGTACCACCCGAACATGGGAGCAAAACTTAACGGTATCGCACCAAGCCAGCATGCTGTGGCGACGAGCCAGGAGCGTCTCTGCGTTACGGTCCTTTTGTACCTAAAAGGGTTAATGATTGGTATTAATATTGAAGTATTTGCACAACTTGTTGGTTTTTTCCAATGTAAACCATAAAGAGGCTGAAACCTTTGTACACAATGTAGAGCCAAAATGTAGTTTCTCCATAAAATAACACAACATGTATTGCTTTTGTTTTCTTTGCATGTTTAAAAAAAGGATTACACCATCACCTGAGAGGGACGCACACCCGCAGGAATCGGTCCACCGCAATCGCCGCGAGACACAGAACTGACACCAGCGTGAACAGGATCTCCACACAGCTGAGGAAGACACAGCCGTAGAATGAAGTCTTCACTTTTCCGTCCACCAACACGGCCGCAGGAATAGCCACACAGCCCACCATGAAGTCAGCCACAGCCAGAGAGACGATCAGGCAGAAGGTAGGCTGCTTGATGCACTTACTGGTCCACAGTGCCAAAATCACCAACATATTACCGAAACAGCAGCAAACAGCAAGAAGAACCTCCAACAAGGTGTACATCATGACCTCTACATCCATGGTGCTCCTGCTTCAGCTAATGCTGATGGTTATTTGGCTGCGAGTCTATAAAGGGGTCTGAGCTAAATGCGAAAAGTTTGAGGAAGTTTCCTGTTTTTAGGCAAATCACCGAATATCTGCGGGCGTGCCGCTTAATCTTACCATATAGATGGTGTGGTTCGTGTTCGCTGAACTGCCTGGCTGAATCAGACAAAGCCTCAAAGCCACATCCTTAATAACAGCAGTGCTCTGTGTGTTCTAAACGAAACCACTTGAGCTAGAGACAGCTGGTGTCGTGTTAAGACAGATCAGGAAGCACACTGGAAATTCTGTTTGATACTTTAGTGTAAAAGGTTGAGTTTCCTTTTGAGTCATAGTGTCCCTTTGCAAACTCTGTCAGTGTGGGTGCACTAAAAGACAAATCCAGAGATACAGAACGTTTATATACTTTATTCAAATGCCATTGTCAGAGGCTTTGCAATACTTAAATTAACTGATTAATTATCTGGTTATGAAAGTATGGAATTAATGAACAGCAAGCATTTCAATGAGTCATTCACATGTTTGATTTTCATTTTGAGTCAGTAAAGACATCAGAGTCCTTTTGTGGTTATTTGTCACAGTATTAGACATTTGGAGTTCTCTTAAAAGAACAAGTTTTTGATAGCTAATTCTAGACTTATTAGAATTAATTTTGCCTCCGATGAAATGCAAGAGTTTCTCCTTTGCTCCATGACAACACATTCTGAAGGCCTGCTGTAGGGTAAGTTCAAATATTTGTTAGCCGAGAGATTAAAAGTGATAATAATAAGCTTAAGAAATGCAGACATGACACATGCATGCATCAAGCAAGCCCTCAGTGCGAGTATCTGTGGCTTTCACAGCAATGTTAGGGGGAAAAACATTTAGTTGACCGCTGTTTCCTTTCCAACTCGTTTGAGGCTTTTCCTTTGAAACACACCTCTTATACGTAAATGATTATGTAAGAAATTGGGAACATTTGCAGAAGTATCAACCTTTTATTTTTAAAAGACCTTTAATAGAGTCATAAAATAAATTTGTACATTGAGGTTAATGTCGTCTGTATTGAGTTATGTACGAGGTAACTGGCAACAGGAGTTCATGATACATCCTAGTTTAATTCATACATTTAATAATTATAACTTGTATTACTGAAGCACTTATTAATAAGGTTAATTGAACTTGTACTTTTGTTAAATCCTAACTTTTATCTGAGCTTATTTGGACACTTTCCTGCCAAATGTAAGAGCAAATGGAAATCATGCACCTCAGTGTATCTTTTCTATATACTCATATTCTATAAACAGTACAGTGGTGAGACTTTAATACATGACATACCTACCAGACCACATTTTATAAATTATTAGCAGTCTAATCTGCTAACAATACTGAGATTTATTTATTTTTTTACTGTTGTTACATAATTTGTCACATTTATAAAAAAGTTTATAACTATTGAAATAGTGGACACCTTTGATCCAATACTGTTCTTGATTTCCTGGATTAAAGCTGGACTTTGTAAAGTATCAGGACAGCAATAAATAGAAATCAAGCCTCTGTCTAGGTCAGAAAAATATTTTGACCTATTAAGTTTGCGCAAAATGAAAAACAGTTTACCCACTGTGGCTAAGATTGAAATGTGCCCAGTAGTTTGGCCCTATCATTTACCTGGTATAAAGGCTGTGCGTTTACTGAATGATAAAATATGGTCAGGTGCTCTAGTTTACTCTCTGCCATTAGCTTTAGACCCTGTGGTTTACTGGTGCATAAGGCTCACACTGTGCATATGGTGGTTTGTGGTGTGAGCATGGACAGAGTGCGTACACGAAGGAAACCACTCTTAACAACAATTTGGGGTTTTGATTCAGAGAAATTGCTGTTCATTTGTTGGGCAATAATAAAACATGCCCACATGTACAATGCATGGCCTGATACAGCAATACTTTGCGGTAATATTTCTGTGGTTATTTAATTTAATGTAAAAATAAAATTCAAAATTGTTACTTTTATGCACATTTTTTTCTAATTTACCTGTTTGCTTCAACAACTTGCAGCTGGTGAACCTGAATGTGGCTTCACTACTTTTGGAATATCACTTGAAAGTATGGCTATGTCAAAAACCCATATATGGATTGTTTTTAAAAGAGAGTCCCTCATAATCTCAAAAACAAGATTATGGTCCTCTGCTGCTCTATTTGAATCTAGTATTTGACTATTATGATTTTTCAAGAGTCAAGACTATACAAGACAGGTATACACGAAGATAAAATGTTATTTAATCTGGCTCAAAAAAGTATTTTTTTTAAATGCATAAATAAATAGGAAATTGCACCATGCATGTTCCATTCAATGTAAGGTGGGGAACTGCTTTGTTTACAGTCAGAAAGAGCGGGCTGCTCAAAAATGTTAAAATGTTGACTACACAGACATAACAAAACACAGCAATATCGTTATATTCCAAAATGTCATCAATAACTAATAACTATTGACTGATATTAATAGCTTTTTGTATATACACCACCACCAAACAAAAAAGATGCTTCTTTAATGGATTCCTGCCTACCCCACCTTTAATAGTACTTATTCTTTACTCTATCAAAAATGTTATGTTAGCAGTTTTTGCTAGCATCTAAATTTCAGGTCTCCATTTTTATTTTATTTTGCTTTGACGGTACTTTCAGTATTTTAAGGTATATTTGAAAACTTTCTTCCATTTATTAAAAGTAGTAATGCTAAAAAAAAAAAAAGTTAAAGCGGTAAATGTCGTTTTTAAGGTAAGTTAAGCAGACTAACGGTTGTCTGGCTGACAGTCTCTTTAGCTGTCATGTGGTTGCCTAGCAACGTCAACACGGACTCAAAAATGGCTGCTCAGCTTTTTATTGAAAATCATTAAAACATAACAGAAACAGCACTGAAAAAATAATCAGATATAAGATTATTTTTAATGAAAAATCAGTCTCTTGTTGATAACTTCACCTGTTTGTTTACATTTATAGTGGCGCCACAACCACCGAACGGCTTTAGGACCCGGGTGCTCAGCAGCAGCCAGACACCGGTTGATGAGATGGTCCACTCGGCATTACACATCCAATTACCGGACAAAGAGCGGCTGTTCGCCCCGGTCAGCGGAGTGGGAGGTGAACTTATCAGACAGTGAAGGTGGACTAACACAACACTCACACCAAGAGCATCCTCACCAACCTTTATCCGTCCGCGTCAACCCCGCACCGTGGCAAGAAGCAGAAGAGGACCAGCCGTTTGTCTCACCGGCGACCACCATGAGCCAGAGGTTCACCGTCTCCAAGAGCGACGGCGACCGGCGCCCCTCAGACATCCAGGGGGAGGTGAACCAGCTGTTTGAGGGAGACGAGCCCCCGTCCAGCGGCGGCGGCGCGGAGGGGGAGGACACCGGCGGCACTGAGGTGGTGGTGGAGCTGAAAGGTAAGAAAGAGAAAAACTCACTTCATTCATCCTGAACGATGTTTGCGCGTTAGCTGTGAGAGCTATCAGCTAGCTGTCCTGATGCTAAACTCCTTGTCTGTGTCAGCACGTTGTCATTAGACAGATGTGTGTGTGACTTGAATATTTAATGACCATACTGAGCACTGTCTGGAGAACAACAGGACCAATGCAAAACACACACAAATACCCTCTTTCTGTACCCTGCTGGGGAGTTACAGGTGCAATGCGCAAAATGCTGAAAGTTGACATGTCAATAATGATAAACAACATGCTTTCAAGGGTGTGTAATGTCGCCATGTGCTTCTACTTTGGCAAACATTTCAGTGCGTCTTATTTTATTACAAGAACAGAAGTAAAGGGCATCAGTTTATATTTTTAGTGACCCCTCAGTTGTTTTACTCTTCATATTCGGTCTATTTGATCCTAATCTGTGACCTTTTCTTGCTGATTTATTTCTGTATAGATTTGCTTCTTTCATGATATTTATTTAGTAAAATTTCCTCCTAACCACATTCATTGATATGCATCTTGAAACCACAGCATGGAGGAATGCAAACTATTTGCTTCCCTGCTGCTTGAAATCAGATGTCATTGTCATGTGCTTTTTAACCTTGTCTCCTGAATCAGATAAATGCACTTCTATGACAATATGTACCTTTTATATTCAACATTTGTCTAAGTTTGTGTTAAATCATTGAATTTTTCTGTCGTTTTAAATGGTAAAACCTTTTTATCCGAGGCAAAGTTATGACAATTTCCTCCCAATCTCCCTGGAGAGATTCCAGCCTTTTCTTCTGGGACCGTCCCCATTGTGGTACGACTCCTTTCATCGACTCACCTGAATGAAGTAGTCAAGCTCTTGTCTGTCACTGTCTGAATTGAATGCAGCAGTGCAGAACAAATGATGGCAGAAATTCCCATCAGGGTAGAAATGGAAAGCCTTTACCATAACCGCTGATCAGCATTAGAAAAAGTGCAATCGTTCAGGTCCAGTCAAGTGCAAATACAGATTTATCAGCAGATGAATCAATGCACTTCATACAGCTCTACTTACCAAGGCTCCTGCATTAATGGCAATTTAAGATAATTGGCATGGCTCCCTGGATTCCCATCAGTTCATTTATTGCAGCTCTAAATGTACCAAGCATTAAATTATTTGCTTTGCTCCGAGGTCCCCTAAGTAGCGAGTCATTTACTTTATCTTATTTATAACAAAAAATCTTGGAAGAATAGCAAACGCAACAAAATACGCTGATGGTTTTGGCACAGCATCTTAATCTGTGAAGTCTCCTCTTCTACTGCTAAATCACTGTCTTCAGTTCTGACACTTTATGGCACGTGTAACCTTCTCAGCGGATACTTTAAATGTCATCCTCTTGTCTTAACATTGTCTGTGCTGCGTGAACCTTCAGTAGCGCTGACAGATTCCCACAATGGAACCTGACTCTCACTGCAGTGAGGGCTGAAAGCTCCTAATCACCAGTTCAGCACTCTCTTTCATTGCTACATGTGGCTGCAGAAAGCCTCAGAGGTTCAAAAGCGTACCCCCCATCTCATTCTGCGCAGGTGAATTAACATAGAAATACCTCCACTCAAATACCCCAGAGTGCATCCATCATTCCTCTGGATGTTAAAGACGGCTGTGTGGGTTGGCGTAGGAACAAATCTCAGCAGCTTCCTACGTTCCCCTGAAGTGATGGGGAACGCTTTATTGAAGGACTTCCCCTCGTGTTCACTCTGTTCCAGCTGAGCCGCAGCTCCGGCGAGACTGATGTCTCTGCGTGCGCTCTGCTGGTTGCCATAGTAACACAGTACATTCTGATCAGAGTTGGTCCC